AAAGTGCTTCCAAATGAGATACTGTATAATCTGAGAACCTCCACATTCTCAGCTCCAAACAGTTTTAAGGAGACTTATTAGACACATTCACATGCCTATGGCACAGTACATCTAATGAAGACAGGTTCTAAGCATGGAAGAGAGAAATGACTGATGCAAAAACGAGCTAGAAAAATCACTAGACAGGAGAGAAACACTGAGAAGAAAGTGGAAGAATGAAGAAAAAACAATAAAGAAAAACTACTCTGGAAATTTTACTCTGTCACAGAACCAGGAGTTTCATTATGGTTCTCCTTTTCCGCAGGTTGGCCAAGCTTTCTGTTGAAACGCTGCATCCATTATAACCAGGAGAAAGAAAGAGGGAGGGAGGGAAGGAGGGAGGGAGAATGGGAGAGCACACTCATTGTGACACTCACATGAGGACAGCTGCTGACTGGAATGCACTGCTTCTTGCGGCACTCTGTTTTGCCTTTTGTACAAGCACAGATGGTGCAGTTAACAGAGGACCACATCTCTCCATCCTGCAAAAGGGAGAACATGACACAGCCATCAGCTGGGGCAGGAGGAGAAAGCTGTTCCAGCAATGCATCATTCTGTTCTGCAAGGGGGAAAGTGCTGATCTTCCTATTGGAGTTATGTCATTGTTTAGTCTAAACCAGTTACGAAGTGTCCAGCTCCACCTAGTTGGATTAAGGATGGAAACTCATCAGGGGTAATTTTTCATTCTAGCCTTTCCAGATAGGAGAGTAGTGTTCCACGCTTAATGAAGAGACATTAGAATTTCCTATCAACAACTTGATTAGTTGCATTTTCTCCTGAAAAACATCTGAGGTGCAATTGCCTGGTATCGTGATTGTCTCATTTGAGATGACCTAATTAGAAAAATCTGATTCTGTACAGCCACTGTGATTGGCATGTTTAAATTATTGCATGAGAAAGTACCTGATTAAGATGTCAGGACACTGAGCATTTATTCCCAGATGTGGCATCGTTCTGCCTTAACCTTGGAATGTACTTAATATTGAATTCAAATTCAGATTACTTGCAGTGCTAAGGCAGACACCCGATCTACTACACATCTGAAAATGTTTAGAACAGATAGAGACCTAAATTCTAGCAGGTATCGATATATTAGACTGTATCTCTCCTCCCCACCCTCCAAGGCTCTCCGATTCTGAAGTGTTGCTTTAGTAATGCCCTGGCTCACTTCCTTATAGATCCCATGTGCCAAATGGGGTTCTTAAAGTATTCTCTCGCCCACCAACAATTCCACACTACTCCTTTTACTGCCAGCATATGGAAGTTTTTGATTTACTGGAATGAAATGAAGATGAGACAGATAGGAACAAAGCAGTGTTATGGCTCTGTGGGCACCACAGAGATGTCAGGAAATGGAGTAAGGCATATTTTTAAAAAAATCTGCCAAAATGGTCTAATTCATATCACTGATGTTAACAATATTTGAGAACCGTCTTAATTTTTCTATAAAGCAGTTCTTTATTTTATTGAATCTGTTTTATTTAACTATTTCATTTTATGTTGTGACAATTTATGATCACACAATAACATTTTACTACTATTTTTATTTTTCTTCTAATTGACCTTTTATGAGACAAAATTGCCTCATAAATTGTCTCTTATTGCACCGCGGACAACTAATTATGCAGCATGGTGTTAATGCTTCTAAATTAATTCCAAACAAGTGGAAGCATTTCTTTCCAGATTAGTCAGTGGAGCTTGCAGAAAGGAGCTCCACCGATCTGTCCAGTTCCAGGAACCAGTGCTTCCGCTTGTCTCTAAGTTTCGCTCAGAAGCACAAAAGCCACATTGCACAAGAAGTCAATCCTGAGAATGCAGCAGAAGCAGGGTGGCCCATGGGATTCTGCTTTATGTCTTCCACTCACTGAACTCCTGACTAGTCTCCACATTTAGACACATTCTCTTGTCAGGAAACACTATGCCTTTGATTGCAAATAACAGCACACCTTTAATTACGTCAAATATTAACAGAAGGGGTCTTTTCTCAATGAACTTCACAGTTGTCTATCCTAGTCTGCAACTCCCTATTTCCTTTTTTAAGAAAAGTTCTCACTTCCTGTGTGAGAACGTCTATAGTGACAGAACACATTTTCTAGGATCTTTTTTTATATATAGGCACATGCACTAAAGTGTGTAGGGATCAACTAGATTCAGAAAACACACTAACCTACATCAAGGGAGGAGTATGGGTAGCCACTGAACCGCAGGTTATGAGGTCATCTGAACTATGATAGGATAACAAACCATGATAAACAACGCTTAGTTCATAACCAACAGTAAATGATGGGCCTCTTCATGGGTTGATTGTTACAATGCATTAACGCATGCTTGAACAGCCCACTCTTCAACAACAACAACCCATATTTAACTACTGGGTTACTGTGTTGTCTGAACCCAGTCAATTTTTACTTCTTGCCACTTATTCACAGAGCTGTCCCAAGGCTACTGGCAGAAGCAGGAATTTCCAATGGTACACCTCCCCCTGCCATTAATGAACACGGACCTGCTCCAGTTCTCCTGTATAGGATTCATTCATGTTAAGATGGCTTTCACAGGAGAATTTCCCAGTGGACTGTTCTCCATAAGTCAGAATTGTCTTCAACTTGTAACGGTCTTTGAGAACTATTATTTGAAGTGCTTGCCTCAGCTTTTTTCTTGTGAGGGCACTCTGCCTCTTTGCATAGTATTTTTATAAATGAAAAATGTAGATTGCCATTAGCACAGGAGCCACAGTTGCTCCAGTAGTAGCCCAAATTTTGTGAAGACTACAAACTTGAAGGGCAGGTAAGAAATTACTGAAATAGTAAGTAAACGTTTTTAAAATGGTACTTGCGAATCTTTAAAAAACAAAATAGAATTTTGCCCAATACAAAAATGATTTTTAAAGTTAGGATTATTTATGATGTACTAGGAGACCGGAAGGCACAGGAGAATGTGAAAATGACTGTGGCATCTCACCACGCGCACACACACACACACACACACACACAAACAAGGACTTCATTTCTGGGTCCCAGATCACCCTCAAATCACTCTGTAATTCCCTTAAAAAACTAGCCAAGCCCTCCTTTAAGAACTAGTGGTGGACACCTAGTAAAATTAATTCATAGCAGATCTAAACATTTATACATTATACAAAGATAATCTATGAAACTAACACAATTGAGAAAAAGCATCAGCTAACACTATAATACTGTGCACTCAGACAAAAATCCCAGTGGGCTCAGGGGGACTTGTCACCCTACTGAATGGCATTAGAAAATAACAGGGCTGGATTTCATTCTCATTTCCTTTGAGTCAGCCACTGTGAGAGTCTAGGCTGAGCTGTGACTAATACCTGGACAGTGATTTTGTTTAAGAAATATTATTTTGGTGTCATGTTCTGTGGAATAATAGCTTGAATCCAAAGATCCGTCTGACTTGTCCTATACACCTGGGAAGAGTCCAGGTGCCATCAGGTTTAGAATAGAGTCTCTTGTATAGCAGCTTCACACCAGGTGAAATGGGGGGTCCTTTCAAAAGGGGTGGAATTGGCTTGTTATTCTGCTATTCCATTTAAAAAATCCATCCTTGGGTACACCTTTTTGGATCACCACAAGATCACCTCTTCTCTTTCACTAGATCAGTGGGGAAGATAGGAGCCCACAGATCCAGACCATCAAGTTCCCAAGATAACCACACACATCGGGGTAATTTTTGTCCCCAGCCACTGATTGTTTGGTGGCTTTATACCTCTTTCACAGTTTTTTTTTTCCTTTTCTATTAATTTTGGGATGCCCTCTTACTGACAATGACAATGCTAAAGTAAAATATGATGTGCTTGTATATAGCCATAGTCCATTTGCCTTCAAACCTGTCCCTCTGGCCTTCAGTCCAGCCTATCAGAACAGGAAGACAGCAGTTTCTCCAAAATGGAATTCTTGGGTTGAAAGATGCTCAGTACCTCTGCATTAAATGCACATGTTCTCTTTCATAAGAAACAGAGAGAGAGAGCATGAGAGAGAAAGGGAGGCTGTTTGTTACATGGAACAATTAGTAGGGAGCATAATACTTCTTCTGTTTGTGAGCAGCAACTGAATAAATAGTAGACGCTTTCAATTTACTGTAAACAGGGCTTCCAGGACCTACATACATTGCAGCTTTGTGCAGCTTTGTGCAATGGGGTGGGGGGGAGATGCAAATTAATGAAAAGCAGCATTGGCTGGGTAAATACTGTTTCCATAAGGGATTTGACATTTCATCTGATCCCAGGATCTCTCAACACACAGATGGTCTGCACAGCGACAGAAATCAGTTCCAACAGAGAGTTTGGGGAGAGAAAGAAATCCCGCACCACTTGAAAAAACAAACAAGTGCCCAATAATATGGGAAGTGTTTTGGAGGGAATCCCCAATGACCTTGTGTGGGTGGAGGGCAGGAGTAGATTATTACCACACGGCTTCCCAGTCCATGAAGCACTGTCTGTACTTACAGCTATGGACTGAATCATATCCAGAAAAGCAAATGACGCTCCATTGGCTCACTTGGGGGTGGGGATGGGAGGAGGGGTTCCCCTTTGGCTGTGCTGCTGACTGCAGGCTGCAGAGAACCACCTTTTCCATGGAGATCAAGAATCTGCTGGAGAAAATGAATCACATCCATGTATGGCTTTTACAGCAAGGGGCAGTGGCTCGGTTGCCTGCCCAAGGGGAAAGGAATCAGCCTGCAAGGGCTGCTGCAGCCGTATGTCTTATGCGGGGGCCTCCTGGCACTGTGTGGATTTAGCTAAAAAGTAAAAAATGCAATTTGGAGTGCACTGCAGGCTGATAACTGCGACGGTGACCGTGAGGCAGTTCTAAGGGCTCTTACCCGGAAGATCTTGCTGCCAAACTTGCACACTTTGGTCTCCTCAGAAGGCACATACGAGACGCACTCCTTGCAGCACTGTTCTCTGGCTTTCAGGCAATCCCCAGGGGGGGCACATTTCTTTTTACACACCACGGTAGAATCCTGCATGGAGAGAAAGAAGGGAGAAACTGCAGGTGGGTGATGATCGTATTCCCTCCATCTAACTGGAGGCATTTGGAGCAGCCACTTTATGCCACTACTGCTGGGATCAGATCAGGGCTGGCCTACATGTAAGCCTCATATGGCCCTCACCCCTCCATTCCTAGCTTGAAGAATGGCCACTGCTATCCCCAATTCGCTGCAGTAGCCACCAAGATAACAAGAGCCTCAAAGGACCAAATTTAGTTTTAGAATGAGGCACAGCCTGTTATGTTTTAAAGCTGAATTTGCCTGTTGCAACCAACCATCGTGGTTACACCGGAGAGTATAGGTGGGGACCCTGCCCACCTGCTCTACACACACTCCAGACATTGTTCTCGTGCTCCTATCAGCTCCAACTCTGCAGCAGCAAAGAGATGAAAGAAGACAAGGCACCCAAGCAAGGAGGCAGAGGCCATGTGGGTTCACAGATAACCACTTAAAGAACCAGTTACTGGAAAGCAGACTGTCCTCCTTCTTTGTGTTCTCTGTGACTCACACGCATGGGAAACTAAAAGGCAAGAGACAAACTGAATGGGGAGCTGTTTTTCTTTCTGTAGAGAAAGCTGCCTGGTCAGCATCTGCATCTGCCCAGGTTCTGATGCTGATGGAAATGTGGCAAGATCCTAAAAGTTCAGAGTAGACACTAAGAGGCTGGAATACTTTCATTTTGCCCTGCTTCTTGATACAGAAGACAACTGTATGTGGTATTTTGAACAGATCATCTGAAGATGTGAGGTCCAATGCCCAAAAGGTTTGAAAGACATGTGAAAAGTTTCTGGTGTTGTCGTCACTTTGAAACTGTAGTCAGATGACAAACTGTGCTGATTTCCTGGCCAGTAAGTTTATGTGCCTCGGTGTGAAAAATCAGAGCTAAGCTTTTCACCTCCTTCAGAATACAGTCAAAGAAGACCACCATTTTTTCTCACAGAAGCTGTTGGCTACTTCTAGTGAAGTTATTGTTTAGTCTTGGAATAGGATGCTTTCACATTTATAGAATCAGGAGTTGGGTCCTTAAAAAGAAAGGAACAACCTTCATCTTGAAGCTTGCATCAGTTTTTGATCTTTCTACATGAAGGAGGGACCACAGAAGGTTTCAACCACAACTGTTTGAGGATGTACATGAATGTTAGGAGGACAGGGTTGGCTACTGGGGGAGTCAAATTTGATAGCAGCCTCTTAAAAACAGGATCAGTGACCTGGATTGGTGGGCCTTGGTCCCAATCTGTAAGGATAGTCATGAAAGGAACTGTTCTTCACGTGGCCTGACATTGTCCAATGGAATGAGAGTTTTGGTGTCCCATCGTAGACTCTAGTGAGGACATCAAAGCCTTCTAGGTTCCATCCTGAAGAGAACTACCAGCTTAAAACAGAAGCTGCCAGGCATTTCCAGTATAGTAACCAGTGGTGTTTTCATTCCTGAAGCTGTTGAAGTTGGGCTGTGACAATGAGTAGCATCTGCTCTGGGGGGTTTTGACAGGGCTTTGTCCTGGAAGAAGTAGGTCAGAAGAGGAGGACAGAGAGTGTGTAGTAATTTGGGTACCATGGCAGTTTGTAGTAGCTGTATATCAGATGGTTTGAACACCACGTACTTGGGTAAGAGTTGCTTCTGAGCATTCTGCATGGTGAGGAGAGTGACAGTGATGAAAGGAAAAAAGGTAACAATGGACATTTCTGTCCATATAGTCACAATACCACTGTGAGGAATGGTCTAACTGCAGTGGGGAACTTTCTTCATATTACAGCAGGACCGCCATACTCGTACCTGCTGGCTCATTAACTGCATTTGCAGTTGACTTTGGCTGAAAGGGAAGTCGTAAAGTGCCGAAAAGTGCCAAAGAGAGGTGGTAAAGTGCTTCCCGTGCTTCTTGCTTTAATAGGGAAAGAAAAATATTGCATACGGAGGTAAGAATGAATGAAATTGTGAAAAAAAGAAATGTACTGTATATAGTATCTATCATATAGTGTTTGCTATTATCCTCAGTTTCAGGCATGGGTATGAAGGTTCTACTGTAGTAAGGCAGAAATTTTCCTTTGGATTTTTGTGGACATTCCAAGGTATAGCAATTCTAGAGAAAAGTTCCAAAGAAGCTAAGGAAGCTGGTGAGGTGACTTGGTATTTGGTGATCTGTCCTAACATGGGGAATAATTCCAAGCAGCAGGCTGGTATGGTGCACTCCTTGGATCTGCCCCGAGGTCAACTTGATTCGGTGATCATTACCAGGGTTGTCATGATCCCATGTGAGTTGCAATTCTTTCAGAACTGGAGTCAGCACCTGAAGTGAGATTGTGGCCCACTGTTACCAATGGTGTTTGTCTTGGTGCAGGCATTGTCCTTGGCTTGGCATCCAACTTGACCTCATGTGCATTTTTGTTTTTGTCCTCTGGTCCCAGCAGTGGGGTTGTGGGACTTGCTTGGTTTGGTCGTATCAGTCTTAACAGTTGTTACAAAGGGGTTGGTTTCCAGCTGGGCTTCTAAAGTCATGGCAGAAGTCAAAGGCAGCATAATCAGAGTAGGGCTGGTAGTCCTCATAATGGGGAATGATTAGCCCACTGCTATTTGCATGGAAGGGGGCTCTGTAATAATCTGAGAAACAGACAGAGCTGGTTTCTTGCAAATGAAAGATGAGGCAGTGTGCAGAAGTGATTCACATCAGCTGTATCTGCTGTCTCAAAGGCCCATTTCCACAGGAAGGCACAAAAATGTGCTATTCTATTTATTCTTGACTGTTTAGGATAGCCTGTGAGTATGGGACTCTACTCTGTGTGCCTCTGTGAGTCAGAGAATGGGAATGTGTACTGGGTAAGGGCATTTTCCTAGTGTAGTGGGAGAAGGTTTTAGAAACCATCTGCCTCAGAGGCGGAGAAGAGAACTCCAAGTGAACAAGAAAGAAAGACAGCCAGCCAGCCAGAGGGGAGGGAGGGAACCATGTTCAGTATCAGAGGAAGAAACTTGAACAGGCTACTTCTTTTAAGAATAATGATGCAAAGTAATGAATGTTTCAAATTCTGCTAATGGTGTATAACCCCCATATGTGAACCACAGAAAATCTGGAGAAGCGAGTATGCTAACTTTTGAACTATCAGAACATCAGTACTGCACCCTAAAAATATTATCTTCACAGATGGTGTATTACTGACTCACCCTGCATGCACACTTTGTACAATTGTCATACATGAAGGAGGCTCCATTGTCGTAAACATCACTGCGAAACAGGCAGCTTCCAAATGGGAGATCAAACACTTTCCTCTGTCCTGGATACGAACAAGAAAGGCATGGTGAGTTGACAGGGGGCTACACCGCCAACAAAGGTAGCGGGGCTTAATGTCACAAAACAGAGGTTCATATGCACCCCAACTGTAGCTGCATTGTTATGTTTTAATTCATTTCAGGGAGGTTTTCCTAACAGTGGCTATCCTAAGCACCTCTGATCCTGCAAGGCTTTAAGTCTAGGGCCTAAAGTGACCTAGTTGTACCACTACTCCATGGCCACCAAATGCCCACGGGAGACCCATAAGCAGGACTTAGCAGTAGTCCCACTGTTGTTTTCTAGCAACTGGCATTCAGAGACACATGGAATAGATTTATAAAACAGCAGTGTCAAAAGGGGTCAAGGAGGTCACTGAGTCCAACCCGCTGCTGGTGCAGGATGCCAAGTCACACCATCCTACTCAGATGACTTTCCAGTTTCGCCTTGAATATCTCTAGTGTGGGAGAACCCACCACCTCTCTAGGCAACTGGTTCCACTGTTGTGCTGCTCTGACAGTGTGGAAGTTTTCCTGGTGTCTATTCTGAATCTGGTGTGCTGCAGCTTCATTGTTCTGTGTGCAACACTCAGAGATGAGTGAAAAAAGGTCTTCTCCTTCTTTGTGACAGCCTTTGAAGTACTTGGAGAGTGTTATCATACCCCTTTGTAGTCTCGACTCAAGGCTGAACATGTCGAGTTTTCTCAGCCTCTCATAGTGGACTGCATCTGAATTATAGTGTATAGCTATTAAGATTAACAGCTTAGGGGCAAAATCACAGGCATATTTGTGCAGAAAAAAGACCCACAACTCCCAGCATGCCTCAGCCAGCTGAAAGGGGCTCAAACAAATCTATAAAGTTACCTAAGATGGTGCTGTCACCACATCTTGTAGCAGTGAATTAGGCCAGCTGACTGTGTGTTTTGTGACAAAATGTTTCCTTTGTCGGGACTGTAGATGCTGTTATCTAAAATGACTCCTAATAAAAGCCAGATTCTTCAGAGAAGGCATGCATTTTACTATCCGTCCTCTCTCAGCCACATGATGAGACAAACAGATAGCAGGGAAGGAGGTGGCAGTGCTAGGGAAGTTGGAGAGCTTTCTAATGGTAGCACATGTACACATGGACGCCTGAAAGGGGGATGCTTGAGAAGCTGAAGGTATCAACTTAGATATGCAGAACTGCATTCAGGGGCTAAAGAATTGGGCTTAGCCTTCATCTTCTAGAATGAAAAACAAATACATATGGCTATGTACATTTGTAGATTATTCAAAATTGCTCAGTGTCACAGAATGTGATATATGTACAAATGGCCTGTGTATTTGGAGGATTCCCCGACACAGAAGATAAAGGGGCACCTGTGCAGAGCTCTTATTTATTCACACATGTCTATATGGCTTCACATCTAAATGGATTCTCGGAGTGCATTGCAACATTTTATATGCCTGACAAAGCTGATAAATGTGAGCACATCAGTACATGTGCCTACGTGCCTGGCATAAGGAGAGTACTCGGGCTATCAGAGTTTCACTGTAATGTTTTGGGGCACTTTAATTCAGAGGCAGTGTCCCTTTAACAAATCCCATCTGCTGTGAACAGACATTCAGATGCTCCCCACCTGCAATGATAAAGTCAATCCTTCCAACAAGCATATGACTTTAAAGCGGCTCAGCACATGCTGCAGAACAATCTCCTTGATGTAAGGTTTTGAGTTAGAAAGCAGTAATCACTATGTGATGATGTGCACCAGCCCAGAAGATAATTCAGTACAACTTTTATGGCATGCCAGCCAAGTCTTGCAGGATATGAAAAACCCCACTGAACGTCAAGGCTGTCCCATGCAAATCAGTTCAAGATGTTCAGAAATCCCATATGGGACAACACATCCTTTGCATTGCTGTGCACTGCATAAAGACACATTATATTGGTCTGGCAAGGCTGGAAACAATAAATGAGTTATCTCATTTATTCACTAACCAAACCTCTTGTTTGGTGCTCGGTCGGGTCTTCCCAAAACCCATTTTTAATCATTCCAGTTCCAATTTAGATTGCAGATACATCTAGAAGCCCGGCATTTTGCCACCCCAGGCGGAGCCACTGTAGAATGCAGAAGATGTGCTGCTAGATCTCTTGCAACAGAGCAGGGCTTACAGCGCTGCCCTTGGACTGGGCAAACAGCAGGAACGCCTTTCAAATAGTGCACTGCTACATTCTTAAAACCAAAACTCTTGAGTGGGTTGCCTGTGCAATAAAGCTGGCTCCTTAGCACATGTTCTATGTGGACAGCAGCTTCTGCCTTAAGACTGGGCAGTGCAAGGAATTCAGTTTCGTGATGGGAATCCATCAAATTTCTTCCCCTCCCCACATGCTGGCCTGCTTTGTCTCTTCCCGTTTCTACCTTACACCCAGCGTTTGTGTGGGTGCTGGCAAGAAGTGAGTTCAAGTGGAGTTCTGCTTGCACACATATGTCTTGAGGACTTCGTGTATTTTGCACAAATAATGATGTGATTTGCATGTCTTGCACAAAGAATCCACTAGCATTCCAGAGCTGGATCTCAGCTTGGTCCACTTCCCGGTCAGGGCCAAACATGGGAAAGAAGTCCCACGAGTGCAAGAGAGCTAGATTCTTATCCAACCTTTGCCACCCTATTGGGCAGTGAATGACTGAATATATAAGTTTATCCATGTGATGAGGAGAAGGTTGAAGATAAGGATTGTGTTCAAGTGTTGTTCTCTAGATAGAATATAATTATAATTCAGGTAATTAGTACTTCCATAATTTATCTGACCAGACTTCTTCATGCACTATGGATTTGGTGACTGACCTCAAAGATATTACTTGGATTCACGGCACAAATAATGTACAAAGAGCTGGGTGAGGATCTGCTAATCTAACGCATTAGAGCTGCAATCTATACCTGTCTAACTGGGAGAAAGACACACTTAACTCGGTGGGATCTGCATCTGAGTAGGTTGCATTACAGTAGGAGAGAAGCCCGGAGGCCTGGATCCTGAGGGCAGAGAGCCTGTCTGCAGTGCTTTCAGCCCATGGCTCCCATTCCCCAATATTTCCAATACTGCTTCTGCCCAATTTCCAAGCATCCTCCTCCTCCGCATCCCACACCACAGCACACCCTATTCGGCAGATTCTCCCAACCCCTCAAATAGCACTTTCAGAGCGCTGGAGAGTCTGGAGAGAGGAGGAGGTTGCATGGATGCCTGTTTCCAGCTGCATGTACTCAAATCTGGATTTAGTCCATGATGCCTTTCATAATTTTCAAAAACTCAATACACATGAAAAAAAAATTGGGCTCACTCTTGATAAAGAAAAGTGGTAACTTACTGTTAAATTGTTAAAATTCTAATAATAATATGAAGACAATATGATGATGCAATGGTTATTTTTATCACAATAATCCATGTTAGATTGACATATTCTTTTTCACTTTTATGTCTATAGTTTTATCTTTAAGAGTACAATATAAATTTGCATAAGCATCCTCAAAAATGAGAACTGTACATAATATACAAGATGCCTCAGAAAACAACCACTCACCTAAACATTTTGGACAACACTGTCCAGAAGGCGTGTGACTGAGATGCTGGGGACATGAAAGAATGGGGCACACCTCTTGCATACATCGTGTCCTGCCACCCTAAAAGAATATAGGTGCAGTTAGTGAACACACACATGCTCAGGTGATAACAGAAGGACTGATATACTCTGCAATCTGTCTCTAGATAATACTTTAACATGAGCACAATTAGGGAAAATATCCATCACACTTGATGTGATTTCCAGGATTGTTTGCACCCTGCACTCATGAAACCCAGATTCTACACTAAGGAAATCTCATGATTTGCAGAAATCATTTGGCATAACTTGGTCTGGTTTTACTATTCATGTAACAAGGTGCAACACAGAACCACTGAAAAACTTAATTATAGCAGGCATAACTTGCACACATTCAAGGATATCTCAAAAATAACTAGGAACACACATAATGAAGGCAAGCTGAGATTTCTGGGAAACTGAATTTAAGTTGGTATCACACTCAGTGAGTGAACAAACCTAGAATTATTTCAGAATGCAGCTGGGAACTTATGTGTTGAACGTTTCCTTTGCTTACGGTCAGACGTTCTAATTTTCTACATGCTGAGAGTTTTTAATATGGAGAAGCATTCAAACATATGTGCATCCAGCTCCAGTCCACTCTAAGACCAGGAAGGCTGTACCACAACCAGAATCTTTTTCTGAATGTCTAAGAGGCAACCAAATAATTTTTCATTAAGATTTGCTCAGAATGTCAGGGATGCCACCAATATGCCCTGCAGTACATTATTCCCATATTGAAGCAGCTAAAAGGACTCCTGATTTTTTCTCGTGGGCCACCATTGCAGCCTTTCCATGTACAGACAGTTTCTGCGTAACTAACAAGTTCCGTTTCTTGTTCAATTTGTATGCAGGCTAGAGCATATATAGTTGGCCCTCCACATTTGCTGGGGTTAGGGATGCAGGACAAGTGGAAAAATTGTGAATATCTCTAGGCTCCCCTGCCCAAACTCACCAGTTCCTCCTCTCTACAGCAAAGAAATGCCGGAGAGTTTTCCCTCCCCAGATGGGCAGGGCAGGAAGGCATGCTTTGAAGGCCTCCATTTCTCCCCCTTTGCTTCCTCTGTGGTGATAATGATTTCCTGCATTTTTTTTCCTTAAATAATAGGCTTTGTGGCAGTTTGTTTGGATCTATGGGTTCATAATTCAGGGACTGCCTGTACTTCCAAGTAGGATGTGACACTTCTGAAGGCCAGGCACCATCTATACTTTCTAAGAGAAGGAGAGAGGTTTGACTAGCTGACCCCATTTGGAAAGAGTCACTGGCAAACTGTAAGGCAGGAACTGAAGGAAGACCGCAAGCACCTTCTCTGCCGTTTCAGCCTAGGATCAATAGCACAACAGTGGAAAACACCCCCAACAATGGACTTTATAATGCTTCCAGAGAAAGGATGTAGAAACACCCTCACACTTCCCACTCAGGCTTGCCATGGATTATCCCAGTGTCTAGGATCTGTTTTTCATATTTAGATATTCCTTCAACTTGACTTTTTTATACTCACTCTTCTGTACACAGTTTGAATGACACTTTAAATGATAATTTAGCATTATGCCCTCTCCTCTTCTCCAGCATGATTATGAGAAGGCTGGAAGCTAGTGTGATTACAGTCTTAGATTGAGGCTTGGGAGATCCAGGTTCTAGTCCCCACTTAACCATGAAGTTCACTGGGTTACTTTGGGCCAGTCACTGGCTCTTAGCCTAACATGCACCTCAAAAAGCTGATACTGTGAGGATAAAATGGAGTAAAGGAGACCGTTGTTAAGCTGCCTTGGATTCCTTGCAAAAAGAAGAAAAGTGGGATATAAATGTAATGCAACAATATTTTTTCAAGCAGACAGAGCCAATGTTATATCCAAGGCCAGGCTAACACCAATCTCAAGTATGGTTTTACTGAAACAAGCCAACTTCAAACTGAGGTTTATGAAGCTGGCTTGATTCAATAGACCATATTTAAGAGTAAGCACAATGTAGGCTTTGAATCCAATGGTAAACTGCAGTTAACTTAAAGCAGAAGCAAAAGATTCTATAAAGAGGGAAGGGGGAGCGCAGAAGCCTAAGACTTGTGTGTGTAATGCGAAATCATGTAACACCTAACCATAGTATTACTAATCCATGGTTTAATGTCCTGTTAATGGTGGCTTCACATTTATAGAGCTCCCTCCCTAGTGAAATATATTTGCTCCTGACTTCATTTTCTCTTATATGAACCTAGAAGGTAGTCTAATTTCAATTCATGTATAATTTAGAGGTGGTTTAATTAACACTCTTGCGTAATATTTAGTACTTTTTAATGGACCACTCAGCTGTTTAGTTCCCCTGCTGCTCTTTCAGCTGATTAGAATAGTAGATGATGTTTAACTGGTATAGGGTTTCAGTATCATATGGTACTGGTATATGTCTTATTAACTGGCATATGTTTTATCACACCATTGTTTCATGGTGCTAAGTTTTTTATTATATGCTGCTTTGGAAAGATATTGGTCTTGAAAAACATACAGAAATTTCAAAAGTAATTTAAAATAATAAACACAGCCTAAGTCTTCTTTATGAATCTGTATTTGCTGCAGGTTAGGAGGCAGAAAAGCAAAAGTCCTAAAATCCAATTTAACAGCTTAAGGAAGCTCAACCGCAAGAGTTGTGCTAATTATTAGAATGTAGATCCTTTGCTCTCATTTTATAGGGGAGGGGGGAGAACAGAGAATATTTGGGGAAATACCTGGCTTCAGGTTAAAATGACTCCAGAGGATTGCACTTCCTGATTGATTTCAAACTGCAAGAAAAATGTTTTGGGCCCAGACCACCTTCAAGTTTCTTAATTTTAGTCCAATTTTTTAATATGGGCAAAAGCCTGAACCAAAATATAGATAACAGGCTGCAGTTAATCTCTTGTAAACCACACATAGCCTATGGGGATGGGGTAGGGTGTGTGTAAACCATGCAAGAGAAAGGTTCTTGGATAGGTGCTGATGAGGAGACTGGGTGGAGTCATAATCATTATCAAGGACCTGTAGCCACCATCATCTGGTTCAAAACCAGACCTTGGATGGCCAGGCTTAGAAATGGGAACCCACCTTAGAATTCCAATGCAATTCAAATGAGCTACACTCAGCTCAATACCATGAGCAGCTATTTAACAATACAGTGGGCTCTTGGCTTGATCACTGCCTCCCCCCCTCCCCCTCAGCTGCCTGGGTGGTCACACAGATTGGACAGCATTTTGTACCACTTCAAGCCATGGTTTCCAACACTCCTTGATGTGGCTTGTGTAGGAGGGCTCGGCTATGGATTAGATCTTGGGCAGGGCTCAAGTTGGGTCAGGTTTTGGGGGTCATAAAACAAAGATATCAGCACTACAGAAAACTCCAAGTAAGGGTACGGGTGAAAGGTAAAAGGGCTAGCTATACATCATTTCAACAAGCATCAAAGAAAGATTGCAGTGGTATTTCTAGATTAAGGTTGGTTGGTCCCACCTCCATGATGCTTGAGATTTTGTCTCAACAGCCTGATCTATTTTGGAATTGCAGGTTGCAGTGATGTGGGAGTAGAGGTGTCATAGTAGTATCCTATGTCTTGAGTCCTCAGAGTTTGAGGAGGGCAATGCAATCGCCTTTGAATTCAAGGGGGCTGACCCTCAGGTCTTTCTGCAGAACCGAGTCCTAGGGAAGTAGAAGCTCATGATACCTTTCCGTAGCCAAGTGTTCTCCCTGGACCATTAACTCTGGAGCCTCCTCTCTGAGGATGGGGGTTCAGAGTCCTGGTCCTTGGAAACCCGTTGATCACTTTAGGAGGTGGGAATGCTTCAGGATTGGGTCAAGTTTTCCACCAAAGTTCTGGATTAGCATATTCAAAGAAAGAGTTTGTTGACTGGGTGTTGAAATGGCAGTCAGGCTGGCTTTGTTTCCATAGTTAGTGGGACGTATTTTTCTTATTGTAACATCTCTCACTGTTTTCGGTTTTTTTGTAATTTGCTTAGAGAGTCCTTTGGACTAATTAACGCAGACTATAAGTTAAATAAATAAATAAAGCTTTCTCACTCAGTACATAAGGAAAGTGGATCTCTCTAGGCAAAAACATTCAATACGTGACAGCATGGAGAGGGTAATCATGCTAGAAAAGTCTTGCAAGGAGCAGTATTAGAAGCCAGTTAGACCCTGGGGTTGTTCTCAAAACTGGGACATGATACCTGTTCCAAGCGTATTAGGATGCAAAGCAAAGGGTAAAAAGGATTCAGTGGCTCAAAAATGAGACCCAGAATGGATCAAAATAAAGAGAAATAAAGAGAACAATACTTCCTGCCTGAGGATAGAAAAGAAAAATCACGGTGCTTCCTTGACCCTAAAGTGACATCTTGCTGCATATACAGAATTCCAGGAGTACCTTAAAAGATAATTAGCTATCGCCATCCAAACAAAAAGTAATCTGGGTTGGTTCTGAACTTGTGTCAGGATCTGGGCAGCTCCAGAGCTCCATCTGGTGGCCAGAATCCGAATGGCCACTGTAGTGATTGCAGGATCAGGCCCAGGTCTTGCTGGGGCTCCCAACCTCCAGATGAGCACCAGCTGGGAGAACTGGAGGAAGAGCTATATAAGAGCAAACTCTTCCCTTCAGAGGCTGCCTCAGCAACACAGGTCTTTATACTAGCTGTAGCATGTTTTGGTGCCTCACCTTTGCCTTATTGTATCCTGCTTTGTTGCCTTACCTCACCTTCAACTATCCCTGAATCCTGCCTGCCTTACCTGGTACCCAATTCCTGATCATGCCTGTGGTTCTTGCTCTGCTTTGTCTTCTCCATTCTAGACCTTTGGTTCAGTTTTGTTGGGCTCTAACACATGCTCCCGATTCCTGACTTTGGCCTGCTTCTTGACTATGACTGAACTACCACATTTTGGACCGTGATTGGACTCTGTTCTGCCTTAGGTCCTGGTGCCTCTGCCAAAACTCTGGCCACTGATGCCCTGGACCTTGGCAACTTGTTGATCACTCTAAGAGGTGGAAATGCTTTGGGATTTGGATCACGTTTTCTACCAGGGTTCTAGATTAGC